AACAAAGCTACTTTAACAGTCGGGACCCATTAGATATTCAAGAATACATAATATTTTTCAACAGTGGGTCCCGACTGTTAAAGTAGCTTTGTTCCTTATTAACAGAATTATAGACTACTGGACTTGTTTTTTTCTTTTCAGTTTTTATTTGAAGAATAATTAAGCAGTCGGGTTTTTTGATTTTTTAAATTTACCTTTTTTATTTCACACTTTTTAGTTAGTATTTTAAGACAGTATATACCGTAGTCTTGTTACTTCAGTAAGGGAATTAGTTTCGCGGGAATTATTAAGTACCTTGCGTCGGTCTAAAAGATTGATTTATTAAGACATATAAAAACTTTACCAGCGGGGTCAAGGCTACAGATGGGCCTCAATTTTCGCAAAAATGTGTGAAGTCAAATCAAGTCGTTACATAAATATCTCTAATGTATGTAAATTTTATAGTAAACCAGCACTTACTCAAAAAGTCATCTTTTGTTTATGTTTTTTTTAATAGTTTAGCAGTAAATATAAAATTCATTTACTTTTATTCGTCGACTATTTAAAATTGGCAGTGGCTGCATTGTCATGTCAATGCCGGACGTCTAAGATTGTGATATACACAAATTCAGTGTCAGTCCCTAGTCTCATAATTTGATATACCTACATAATTCACAGAAACCCAATATGTAGATGCCAGAAGTTAACTTCAAATGTTTTTAATCGCCCTATATACAATACCAATCAATGACGTTTATGTCGCAGGTTGAAGAAAGAAGTAATTCCCGTCTGTTGTTTTGGACAATGGTGGCAACTGCCTTAGATCACTAAATTAAATAATTATGCAATCACCAAAGCAAAGTTATAATATTTGATTAAACTAAAGGCGCATAATAAAATTTTCATAATGTTAGGTACAGCACCATAGCAATCTCATTTATTATCAATTTATAGTTTTCTTTGTAGTTTTCTTTTAAAGCGTTCACATTTAACAGGTCAAAGACTTTGTGTTCGACCCTTTTTTATTGGTAGTGTAAAGCTCCCAGTAGTGCAATCATGGCCAATTATTTTCCAAATTTTTTTTGTTATAAAAATACCGAATAACGTATCACTGTTAAGCACAAATGCTAAGTAACTTTTACAAATATAATCAAATAAACCTATTACTTACTTTATTTTGAAATCTTTTTCATCAATTAAATACATATCTTATCCTAACTATCTATACTAATATTACAAAGAGGCAAGATTTTTATGTTTGTAACAAATAATCTGTCAAACTACTGAACCGGTTTCAAATATTAATTCATCATAAGGTAGCTACATTATTAATTATAACTTTTTTCTTTATTTAAATACATTTTGTCCGAGTGACATAGGCTATATTTTATTCCGATAAATAAATTTCGCCCGTACAATGCCCGGGTGGATCACTAGTAAGTATAATATAATATTATAGATGCGAAAGTGAGTTTGTTTGTTGCGCTTCCGTGTCCTAATAGCTAAATCGAATATAATGAATTCCCATATAGAAGTAGATGGGAACTTGGTTCTTAGCTACAACATCGCAATACTTATAGGCGTAGGGTGATGAAAGGGGTGATTTACCTATAAAAATCTACATTATTTACTTTGAATTTTGCAGAATTATTACAAAACTAATATTATCGCGAGCTGATTAATAAATACAGAGATTCCAATAAGTATGTACTTACTAGCGAAAAAGGGGTTATTTGTCATTATATTAAGTAAACCTTTTTTGTAACCTTAAGTAATATCGTTAAAAAAATTAAAAACAGTAAACTCCGAGTTTTTCATTAAAATTCAATAATCATAAATACCTATTATGATAATATATTTTTCATCATTTAATAAGAAGGAACTGTATCACAGTTTTAATGTTAGTTCTTCGTATAGGATCAGATACTGCGAATACCCCATTTTTTTTTCTTTTACATAGTACAGCGCGCTATCACTTTGTCATCGTTGTAACTTTTTAAATATTTGTCGAAATGACATAGTGTAAAAAGCAAAGTTTATCGTCTTTAAATATCAAAAGCGATTAAAGTATTTGTTTTGATAAAAAATGATTTGTTAATACAAAATGTGCATTTTGGAAATAGATATCAAATAATAATTTAGTTTTGATTCACTATTTTAGCGGTAATGACTTACACATTAAAAATAGATATATAGTGTCACGGACTTTTTTTAAGAACTATTTAAGAGATACATTTTCACTCTACATTACATTCATGTAACTTTTATTGTTTTTGCAGTGCAGGCCAAAATGGCTCGCAGATGGGACATTTTTTTCCGTCTTATGTGACACTCATTGCTATATATTGGCCAATTCACTCAATAACTACATAATCTACTATATAAAAATAAGTCGGGTTTTCCTTCCTGACGCTATAACTCCAGAACGCACGAACCGATTTCCACGGTTTTGCATTCGTTGGAAAGGTCTCGGGCTCCGTGAGGTTTATAGCAAAGAAAATTCAGGAAAAATTAAAAAAAAAATCTTCTTTTAATCACCAAACGAAATGTTACATAAAACGAAGCTATCTGGTGGCGAAACGGAGTTCGCGGGGTTTGCTAGTTTATTATATATATGTAATTATCATATATGAGCTATATTACTGTTAAGTTTCATTAAAATCCATTCAGTATTTTTTAGGCGAAAGAGTAACAAATATCCATACAAACGTAAGATTGAAATTAAAAGCGGAAGTGGTTAATATACAATTTAAAGCGTTGTAGATCCTAAACAGTCATATAAAATGAAAAATGGTGTTAGGAACCTAAATATGATTTTTGATTATCTAGACAGTGATACCCCACTCGACATATTTTGTCAACTTTTTTTTTTTACTTCGTCACAATATGGCGCTTAATTTTGCCCATATTGAATTTTGATTACTATCATATCTTTAGTAGCACTTCCATGATTGAGACGAATCGATTGATGTATGAATCATCAAAATCGGTCCAGGCGTTTGGTCTCTAGTGTGCCACAAAGGAACAAACATACATATATAGACTGTTAAACACATAACCCTGTCTGCGCGTCGCGCTTCGCGCTCTTGCATTGCGCAGCCGGGTAAAAAGGGAAGATACGGCACACGCAGCTCAAAAGTGAATCGCTGCAATTGTGGTTCATGACCACAATTCGATTAGTCACAAACAAGCTGCATGTGCACTCAATAGAACAATACTGCGTATATCACACTAATATTATAAAGGCGAAAGTTTGCGAGTGTGTGAGTATGTGAGTGTGTATGTTTGTTACTTCTTCACGTCTAAACGGCTGGAGCGATTTTAATAAAATTTGGTATGGAGTTAGCTGACACCCTAGATTCACACATATGCTACTTTTATCCCAAAAAAAAATGTTAGGTTCCAGAGGTATTTTCAAGAAACTAAGTTAACGCAGACGAAGTCGCGGGCGACCTCTAGTTATGTTATAAAGATAAAACAATGGCTTCGATGCTTTTATAAACAACACAAATAGTTAAAACTCGGAACAGCAAATGCCACGGCAACACTCTTCATTCGTAAAACTGTATACACGGACCTGAAAAACAGATTTTCAGGTCCATGACTGTATAAAACATTTTTTTGATGTGTAATTTATTTGCTCTCCCTTACCTACAATTTGTGGGAGTGATTTCGTGAAATGCAAAAAAATCTTGGAATGTTTTTTTTAGCACTTAGCTAATCTTAGAATAAATACCGAACATTTGTAAACAAAAGAAGGAAATAAATCATATGTAACGTATAGAAAATGAGTATCGGAAAAGGGAAGTATCAGAACATTAGTTTTATTATATGTTATCTATACTTATAATAAATCTGTAGAGAGGTCAATTCTGTACATGAAATATATTTTCAAAATAACTATCAGGGGGTGATTAGTGATCGACACAGATGCCAAAAATGCAATCAGTAAAATTTTTGTCTGTCTGTCTGTCTGTGTGTATGTTCCTTATAGAAACAAAAACTACTCGACGGATTTTAACGAAATTTGGTACAATTATTTTTCATACTCCTGGGCAGGTTATAGTATACTTTTCATCACGTTACAATCAATAGCAGCAGAGTAGTGAAGGGAAATGTTGGGAAAACGGGAGAAGTTACTCCATTTTTTAAGCTTCCGTCGCGTGTGCAGCCTTAATGGTTAATCATATTAGCCGTATGACGCCCACTGCTGGACATAGGCCTCCCCCAAGGATCTCCACAACGATCGGTCCTGCGCTGCCCGCATCCAGCGTTTTCCCGCGACCTTAATGGTTAAAGTTACATAGAAATCATGTATGACGGAAATATTCTACATAATATTGTCTAAAAAATATCCCGCAACAGCATATGTCTATCTTTTATGGTTGATTCACAATAACACGTGTAATTATATAAATAAAGTCATTGTTTATAGCACAAGCCTGAGAACAAAAACTATAGTTTACACTACAGCTCTACACCGAAGCGAAGCGAGGGCGGGCCACTAGTATATAATATAAATACAGGTAAAAAAAGATCGTTTTTGTTTTAAATAAAGTTGTCGTTTTAAAACCTACAATAATCGATATTTTATTTTATAGCCAAAAGCAGCAGTGATGATGATGACTACTCCTACGGTAGTGCAGAGATGAGCGGAATTAAAGAGCTAGATTCTGATTAATGTTTTTTGTCACTCAGTCTTAATACTATTATTTATTTATTAACACTGAGTGAGAAAAACTATTAAAAAAAATATTAGGTATTTAAAATCTGATATTTTACTTCACTTAATCTCGGTAAACAAGTTTTATTGAAGAAAAAATATTTTGCTCACTTTACCTAACTGGTTTGAATTCACAGCTATGACATCACTATATGGCGGCCCGTCGGTCCTTTTCTTAGTTGAATCGCACTATACACTGGTGTCAGAATCATGTTAGAATCGACAAGTCTTCAAAGAAGTGATTCATAATAACGGTCAAAGTCGAAATAATAAAATACCTTTTGAAAATAAAAATAACCTTTATTTAAAAACGAAAAAATCTTGAGATCAGAATAAAGTAGCATATTTGTTATTCTTTCGTACAACGTCAAGAATAAGAGTGTTTGGAGAAGTGGGTTGCGGATATCTTGGACAAGTTTGACACCAAGTCGCATTACTTAATTCCGGATCATGTTGCCACCATCCATACTAAAATAAGAAAATATGTATATGTAAATAATCGATTCAGATATATTTAAGTTTAAAAAAAATACTATCATAATAATGTGTATTAGACAAACCTCAACTGATGTTGTCGGTGGTAATCTGTAAATATCAGAGGGCCCAGTTGGCTTAATAACTCCTTTTCGCTTCATTTTAACAAATGTTTGGTAAGAACCGTATGCAAATCCATTTACTCTTCCAATATAACAATCAATTAGTCTGATTGTGTTAACATCTGGTCTTTTAATCTAAGTGCATTGTGAATATAATACGTAAGAACATGTCGCCAGTAAGATTGCAAGAGAAATTTGCAAAACCGCGTTTTAACTTTATATACATTTTTTTGTTCCGCAGATGGTATTTGTAAGCAGCTCGAGCGAGTCTGATATACCGTCCCTTGTCGTTTGAGTTCCCCTAACCACTTGTTCATGAACACTGCCAATCGTCGATTCTGGCTCGATTCTCTGAACCGAAAATTAAATTTGACAACAGTGTATGGACCCTTGTCATTCTGTACAGTGTACATACACTGTTGAGAGTGAGATTGATGTTAATTTTAGTTTTAAGTTTTGATAATCATACCAGAATCGACACAACTTCCTTCTGCCGTGATTAATTATTGTATACAGCGTTGAAAAAACTTGAAATGGTCACCAAGAATTGCTTCTCATTTGCTTTTAATTGCCTTCTATCGTGAGGTATTTGCTTCCTTAATATTGAAATAATTGAAATTATTTATCAAAACATTGGAGGTGATCAGCCACCAGACTTCATGATGACTAGTCAACCCGCCAGCAAGATACGTACTATTTGCAATTACTAAAACTTAACTTACTTCATCATGTTAGCCGTGCGATGCCCACTGATGAGCATAGGCCTCCCCCCAAGGATCTCCACACAGATTTGTCCTGCACCACTCGCATTCATCAGCTTCCCGTGACCTTCACAAGACCTTGTAGGGGGCCTGCCTGCTGAGCGTCATCCGGAGCGTGGTCGCCATTCTAGAAACTTTCCGCCCCAACGGCCATCGATTCTTCTTGCTACCTATCCCGCCCACTGCTACTTCAGCAGAGCAATCCTTCGAGCGCTATGGGTTACTTTAGTTCTTCTACGGATTTCCTCACATCTGATTCTATCGCGTAGGAAAATACCGAGCATAGCTCTCTCCATTCTCGCTGTGTGACTTTGACCCTTCTTAAGAGACCCGCAAAAAAGGACCACGTTTCGCTTCCGTAGGTCATCACTGGCAACACCCACTGGTCAAAGACTTTTGGCTTAAGACACTGAGGTAATTTGGACGTTAAGATTTTCCGTAGCTTCCCGAACGCTGCCCATCCGAGCTGGATACGACGAAAGATCTCTCTCTCAAAGTTGGACTTACCTAACTGGACTGTATGTCCTAGGTAAACGTAACGGTCAACAACTTCGAGTGTAGTAGCGTTCCCAATTTTAACAGGAGCGGGTACTACATGGGCAGTTGACATAATTTTATTTTCATCTTATCGATGTTTTTCTTAAGACCCACTCTTTAGGAATCTCTACTAAGGTCTTCGAGCATCGTATTAAGACCTTCCAAGGTCTCTGCCTTATGGCTGGCTAACTACATCATCGGCGAAACGTAGGTGCGAAAGGTACTCGCCATTAATGTTGGTACCTCGTCCTTTCCAATCCACAAGCTTGAAAATATCCTCCAATGCAGTTGTGAACAGTTTCGGAGATATAACATCTCCCTGTCTCACACCTCGTTGCAGTTGGATAGGATTAGAGCTCTGGTTCTATAATCGGACTGACATAGTGGCGTTGTCATAAAGGTATAATGCGATTCAACTAAGAATAGGACCGACTTGGCGCCATATTGTGAAGTCATAGCTGTCATATCAAACCAAATCGGTAAAGTGAGAAAAAAAAATATTTAATAAAACTTATTAACTAAGATTTAGTGAGATTATTTTAATAAAATTTATTTACAAGATTGAGAAAAACAACAACCAATTTTTAATAATATTAATTTATTAAGACTGTGAGAAAAACAGAGTAGTAGTAGTAGAGCCAGAGTAATAATGAATAATCATGCACTATTATTAGGTAAGATACGAACATGCATCCTTTATGTAAACGAAAGTTTTAAATCTGAGTTTCTGAACGTAACTTAAAGTGACATTTGGTTGACGATTTAGGTTATCAACCATTCATAGCCAAAGCTCAATAAATGAAAAAAAATATCAACCAATATTGATTATCAATATGTTATTGTTTGTTTTAGAATTAGCTGAGTGCTAAAAAAGGAGTCGGTTAAATACAAACAAACATACAGGTGAAACTAATAAAAGCGTGATAAAAGGTTTCCAAGATTTTTTTGAAAACCGTACTATTCAAGCGACATTTGACAGATGGAGGTCATTGGCCTTCCTATTCTTATTCGAATCGCACGATACCTTAATACATCGACATAATCTGTATTCTACTTCGCACCTTTGGAGAGACTGTAACACCACCGCCCAGGTCTCAATTGAATCGAAAACTTTCTCATAGTCCACGAACGCCAAGGAAAATGGCAGATTATACTGTTCGGTCTTCTGTATAACCTGCAACAGCGTATCTATGGTACTGAAGTCTTTCGGAAACCGGCTCTCAGAAGATCTGCTGTGATGCCATCATCGCCCGCCGCCTTGTTGTTTTTAAGTTATTTGAGAGCATACTATACAGGCTGACGTCCAGGATATCTTCGGTATAGCTTGGCTCTGGAGTCTCTTCTGTAGCCTTGCTTTCAACAGGTGCTTGCGTGGAATATAGCTATCCATAGAAACTCTTAATCTCCCTCAAGATTTCAGCCTTAGATGAAATGATGCAACCGCTGTCAGTCTTCAGCTTCGTTAGTTGGCTTTGCTCAATAGACAGATCTCTTGCGAACACTTTGGAGCCTTTGTTGCGCTCGATAACCTCTTTGATAAAATCCGTATTAAATCGGCGAAGGTCGCTCGTCAAGGATTGTGATATCTGTCTTTCTATTTAGCCGCCGGAACTTACTTACATCTCCTGAATTCTGTAGTCTCATTTCGTTCCGCTGTTCCATGAGTAGGAGTTTAGTCAACAATTTCTTTATTTTGGTACGGTGGGCTTTACAATACTTGGACCCTACCATACGGACAGTATCCACCACCGTGTTGTTCAGATCGTCCACCTCTAACAAAGCTATTTTTAAGGGATTCGAAATGGTTTTGAAGTCAAGATGAAAGCTCTCGGGGTTCTGGAGTTGTGCAGGCATTGGTTGGAGCGCAGACATTATCATTCGAAATCTTTCGAGCTTAATGTTATATTCAATGTGCCTCGTACGAATCGGTGATCACTTCCAATTTTGACGGCATTGATAACAGAGACATCATTGAATATTAGCTATTTTGTCGACATGATAAAGTCGATCTCGTTTCGGACTTTGCCGTCCGGACTCATCCAGGTCCAATATTGATTTTGGGATTTCCTGAAGAAGGAGTTCATCATATAAAGGTTCTCCTTCTCCATAAAATCTACCAACATCTGTCCTCTGGCGTTCCGTTCCCACCCAACTCCAAATTGCCTCACTCTCAATTCATCACCGCAACGCTTCCTTAACCTTGCGTTAAAGTCCCCATCACAACCGTGTAGTGTATTTTGTAGCTATGCATGGCTTTCAACGAATATCGTTTTGATATTCTGAGTATTAGGTATGCTACCCTGGTTGACACACTTCTGATGGTGATCTCGTTGAGACATGTGGACGATCACCCCGACACCGCCTAGGGACTGTTGATCGCCCTCCCGGTAGTATAGTAAGTTACCGAATTGAGGATTATCAAGTCCTCTCCCTCTCTTCGGACCTCAGATAAATCAATAATATCCCAACGTAACTTACTAGCTTAGCGTCGGTCCTCAGTATGCGCGTGTTGTAGGTTGCCAGGTCGAGTCGTCGTAGGTGGTAGCTGGATCTTACCCGGGGATTCTTAGCACCCCTTGCCCCGCCGTTACCATAGCTGCTACCGTGGCTAGGACTAGCCGGGCTGCCGGGGTATTGGGGGCCGATCTTTAATTGTGCTAAACATCTTGGGGGGTTTTGCCATAATCGCTACGCTTGGCAGGCGGGTTGGCGATTGCAGTACATCCAAGATATTGCAACAAAACGCTGCTTCCGTCTGCGCCGTCTTCTGTGCACCCTTTGTCGCTATTCTAGGCCGACAAACACACGGCAAATAAACTTATTTACCATGTAGAAAAACGAATGAAGAGCAGCGACCTCGTCAAATGGTAACTGCGTTTTGTTGAGTTGTGGACCATCTTCACCGCGTAATGTTTGGCCAAAACTTATCATTCTGAATGGTGCGTATCATGGTAAGTAAAGACAGTCTATGTAAAGGAGAAATCGGGGTTTCTGCGTCGGTAGGCTGCTCCCATCGTACCTATCTTTTTGTGCTAAAACCTGTTCCAACATAAGGGAAGGAGCGTTGACAAAGCGCTCATCAATTTAAAATTATCGTATTTATAATTTTCTGTTACTATTTCAGGTCCCTATTTGATTTTTTTAAAAGTACCTCACCTCACACCTACCGGACTGAGGTCCGGGTTCTATGTCTGCCTACGCGCGACATATGGGAGCTCCGTCACTTTTATGTGTGCTTTGATTAGTCTGTTGTATTCCATATTTATGCGTTTAATTTACAGGGGTACCTTAGCACTGCTATAGTGTCAATGATGAATTATTATGCATTACTTACTAGCTTATTTTAATTGTGGGCGTTGGTTCTATTATGAGCCTACTACGAGTAAGACATGCTTAAAATCCGCTGTTCAATATCGAAAAGAGACATACAAATACGCGGTATTGCTAACTGCTATTAATGTAGTTTGGTAGATAAAACAGACGAATGTGCAGTACACTGCGTATCAATGTGAGACTGTAAACTGCACATTACAAAAAAATTACCATTTCTGGCATTGTAGAATCGTGTTCCACTTTTTCCATTATTTTTTTTACATCTTCCTTTTTCATAGGCTCATGGTAGTCATTCCTCATAATATCTTTAATATAGTTTTGAGGACCTAACACAGTATACCCAAAAAATTCCATCCCCTAAATGCGTTTTACTAAAATAATAAATAAGGCTTTTTTATGGTTTGACAAAAGTTGCCATCGAGCTATCCATAGATTTTTTTAAGCTGATATGTAGTACTAAGTCTATGGATATTTAGTAAGGGTACGGGTACGGCCAGAGTGCACTCAGATTCAGATTCAGACTCAGAAAAGAAAAAACGAGAAAAAGCAGGCAACCTGCTTAGACTACACTGTTTATTTCTCGCGCTTGTTTTCAGAATCTGAATCTGAATCTGAGTGCACTCTGGCCGCACCCTTAGGGTGTAACAGTGTAGACTACACTGTTTATTTACTACCATGTAGTAAATAAACAGTGTAGTCTAAACAGGTTGCCTGCTTTTTCTCGCGCTCTGAGTCTGAATCTGAATCTGAATCAGGAGTGCACTCTGGCCGTACCCTTCGACTACACTGTTTATTTCTCGCGCTTAGTGGCAGCAGGCAACCTGCTTAATCTGAGTGCACTCTGGCCGTACCCTAAGATGTGAAAAAGGCCCTTTGCAAATGGCTTTGCTTTGTCTACCTCGCTCTTACCCGTGATAATTGGTTTCTTTGCAGTGCAAAGTACGGTTTTTGGACCACGCGGCGAAACACCACTGTAATTTTTGTTGTGTTTATTATGGTGGAGCCACACTAACGGGAAATGCCGTTAATTAGTGCGATGAAGGACAATTAAAGTACAGTACACGCGCAATCTGAATGCAGTTGGTGTATTTCGGTCATATTGGGGTCCCACACTCCGGCGCCTCGAAAGCCTACAGTGCTGCAGTCAGACTGCGCACGTGCTGCACCTTAAACGTCCATCATCGCGAATATTAATGGCATTTCCCATTAGTATGGCCCCAGTATTATAAGAGCAAATAGGTGCGCGTACAAGTGGCGGAGCCACCGCGTACACTGAATTTTCTGCGACCATTTTAAGTCAGTCTGCTATGCTGAGAGCGTTTGATTAGAGCACCTTTTCTCCGTTTAGTTTCCTGATAAAGAAACAACATGTGTGAAGAACCTGCATCACCTTCTTCGCCTAAAATTGTAAATGATGAGATGAATCATAATTGATTGGAGAAACGACCCGCTATTTAAACCAAAAATTTTGAGAAATCTAAGAAACAAGAAAGAAATTGTTTTGGTTTTATGACACCGAGATGCAAATAAAACATAAATACTTGTACCTAATCATTACTAAAAAAAGTTCTGTAATAGACTACGGCTCTCCCGCGTACCAGGCGAGCTTTCTAAAACTGAATCACCGGTTCATGTTGGTACTCTAAGGGTCTAAATTTTAAAACAAATCAAAATAAAGATGAACAAAAAAATATGGCGATGTAATAAAACAAAATATAAGAGGCTTCCCTGCGTAAGCGAGAGCACGGCACGGAGCGGGCGCAAAATTACTTTTTTTGAGCGTGCTCCGCTTCGCGTGTTTGTTTAAGTTATTTCATAGAGCAGCGCTTCGTGGAGCGGATATCCGCACAGCGCTGCTCATTCGTTCAATTAAATGACAATAAGTACGCGGAAATATACGCCCGCTCCGTGCTCCCGCTTAACGCAGTGCAGGCTCTTATAAAAACAAAAGGTAGAAACATATTTACATGTCGTGGTGATCACTGTCGTGACAAGGTGAGTGTAAACACAAATGTGTCGTGACGTAGCGTGTTCTGGCGTTATTTCTCAACAGTCGATATGAAACCTTTGCAGCGTTTTACTGTGTCATCATATTTTCTTGATTTGGATAGTGATTTTAATAAATATCTTCTATTTCTCTTAGCAATCAAACTTTTTATGGTACAAAATAAATAAAAGAATTAATATTGCAGCAATTTCTTCCCAAACTTCATTTCTCATTAGATGATCATTTTATTCTTTACACTTCGTATCATATAAACATTTCTTTGACGAACCTACAAATTCAATGATCTCGTCAATATTTTTTTCAGAAACACGTTGTAAACAACCGTCCGTTGTTCACGTCGTTTGATGATGCGCGAGGAGCCACTCGGCATAAGCCAGAAACATATTTACGTATCGTAGCGTGTCGTGACGCGCAGCACATCGGTTTCATATTATGGTTAGAGACACATTTGTAGGTCGTGGGCGGAAGTATGTGTTGAAGTATGTATTTTCCCGCAATGCGCGCCTGGCCTTGCCCTTCATTTATCGGTGTGTGCTTTGTTCAAAGATTCTTTTGTGATGAATGTACGCCTACTGTTTTCATTATTTTCTTAACGGACCGAAACAAAATGGCATGTGTGCGTATTGCCACCACGCTCATGTTCCGGTCACTCACTTTCACAGGAATGCATGAACCCGCATGCAAGATATTCAACAAGATGGTTTTCAAGCACATCAAAGCTCGCAAACCATCGCGTAGTCTCTACACATTCGCAAGTTAACAATATGTTCGTCATTTATAAAATAAAGTTATGTAAGGTCATAAAAATAAATGTAAATCATAATAATAGGTAAGGTTTATAAAATAAAATCACATAATTATGGCAGTACCATACGATAAAAACGAGCTACATAACATATCGCGGTGCTAATGCTACCAAGGGGTTGGGATCTTTCTCTATTGCTCTATTGATAGACCGCGCTAAATAGCACGTCGTGTACGGTCAAAGTACGTGTCTATATCTTTCCAAGGTCTTTAATATAACAAAGTGGTCTAATTAAGCCTTCTGTAGGCTAACTGCTTTTGACAGGTGGAAGTGATAATACAATACTACTATATAATCACCGATCGAAATTGAGACGATTCTCAATTTCGCGATCCGCGATGGATACGTTTGTATCACGGATATGGTTTGCATGTGGCAGCCCCACCCCCAAGTGGGTCGCGACAGATGCTTTTAGTTTAAGAAGCAACATGCAGGCCGGTAGGGTGAGGATGGCTGGTGTGGCAGGATCGCGAAATTGAGAATCGTCTCAATTTCGCGATCCGCGATGGATACGTTTGTATCACGGATATGGTTTGCATGTGGCAGCCCCACCCCCAAGTGGGTCGCGACAGATGCTTTTAGTTTTAAGTTAAGAGAATAATGCCGGAATCAACACCACTGTGTAACTAAAGAGAAAAATGCATATCCGCATCGATGCTTTTCAGAACAAGTTTCTTAGTGGTGTTATAATAAAGCGGTAGTAGATAAATAAATAGATCGGTGATTATATAGTAGTATTGTATTATCACTTCCACCTGTCAAAAGCAGTTAGCCTACAGAAGGCTTAATTAGACCACTTTGTTATATTAAAGACCTTGGAAAGATATAGACACGTACTTTGACCGTACACGACGTGCTATTTAACGCGGTCTATCAATAGAGCAATAGAGAAAGATCCCAACCCCTTGGTAGCATTAGCACCGCGATATGTTATGTAGCTCGTTTTTATCGTATGGTACTGCCATAATTATGTGATTTTATTTTATAAACCTTACCTATTATTATGATTTACATTTATTTTTATGACCTTACATAACTTTATTTTATAAATGACGAACATATTGTTAACTTGCGAATGTGTAGAGACTACGCGATGCTTTGCGAGCTTTGATGTGCTTGAAAACCATCTTGTTGAATATCTTGCATGCGGGTTCATGCATTCCTGTGAAAGTGAGTGACCGGAACATGAGCGTGGTGGCAATACGCACACATGCCATTTTGTTTCGGTCCGTTAAGAAAATAATGAAAACAGTAGGCGTCAAATTGAGACGATTCTCAATTTCGCGATCCGCGATGGATACGTTTGTATCACGGATATGGTTTGCATGTGGCAGCCCCACCCCCAAGTGGGTCGCGACAGATGCTTTTAGTTTAAGAAGCAACATGCAGGCCGGTAGGGTGAGGATGGCTGGTGTGGCAGGTAGAACTGCTGTATCAGCTATCTTCGCGTCTGGACATTCGCTGGTGATTGAAGGTACATACAATATAATCTGTGGTAAGTAACCAACCTTTGTCACTCGATTCTCCCTTTGTTACGTGTCTATCGAGACACGTAACAAAGGGAGAATCCACCCCTACCGGCCTGCATGTTGCTTCTTCACGCCTCTTTTAAAGGATCCCAGGTTGTAAGAGGGAGGGAACACGTGAGCGGGCAGAGCATTCCATTTACGAATAGTGCGACAAAGAAATGAGTCACCAAATTTCTTTGTACGCATTGGAATTGTGACCACAGTAAGACGGTGACAACGAAAGGGGAAGGTGGAATAAGAGAGAATAACTCCTCAGAACACTCGCCGTGGCACAGACGATAAAACGCGCTTAATGACGCCACGTCACGGCGTAATTGAAGAGGCTCAATGGTGTTTAGTCACCTCCTCATCGCCTATGATGCGGATCGCGCGCCGCTGTAACCTATCCAAAGCAACGAGCAAGTACTTGGCGGAGCCATCCCGAAGGTGCGAGCAATATTCCACGCAGGACCGCACTTGCGTTTTGTATAACAAGCATAGTTGATCGGGCGTGAAAAAACGCCGCACGTTGTTCAGGACTCCGAGTTTGCGTGAAGCTGTTTTGATCACGGTTTCGATGTAGTCCTTTGGATTCAGGTCTGAGCTAATTTCTATACCGAGCATGGAAATGTTGCACTGTAGCGGTAGTGTTGTGGCCTGAAGAGAGGGAAGGGGAAGGAATGGCGATGTTTTTGCCGTGAAAGCGCAAGCCTGAGTTTTCTTGGCATTGAACTCAACCAAGTTCCTGGTACCCCATTCGGAAATGTGGTCCAAAGCCTGATTGAGTTCAATAACAAGATTCTCCCGTTTCTCCTTGGTTACCGCCTACCCAGCCGCTGCTTGTCCGAGATACCCCGCATGCACTGTACTATCGTCTGCATAGCAATCATATATATACCTTTTCTCTTTGATAGCAATGAATATTCCCAAGAGGAATCAAGTCATTGATATGCAGCAAAAAGAGAGTGGGGAATAGGACGGAGCCCTGGGAAACGCCGGCATTCACTGACATGAACCGCGAACTGCTACCATCCGTAAGGACACGTATTCTACGCTCATGCAGGAAGTCAGCTACCAAAGAACAGAACTGAGCTGGCAGACCGTATGCCGGAAGCTTGGAGAGAAGGCTTTTGTGCCATACCCTGTCGAACGCCATGGCAATGTCAATTGCTGTTGGCTGATAGCCAACGACTCGCCACGCTTGTCGATAGCCTCACCCCAGATATGAGTTAAGTACGCTAGAAGATCACCCGTCGATCGTTTCGGTCTAAAACCATATTGACGATCATTAATCAGGGATTGATCCTCTAGGTAGCGGGTCAGATGGTTATTAAGGACCTTTTCTAGAACTTCACATAAGACTGAGGTGACTGCTATTGGCCGGTAGTTTGCCGGGTGTGAGCGATCCCCTTTTTTGGGCACCGGTTGCACGTTAGGATCTCTCCAAGTCCGGCACACGCCCCAAAGAATACGAGCATTGGTACAAGCGCGTGAGCACGGGAGACAACTCCGTTGCACATTTTTTCAGTACTACTGCTGGGATGCCATCAGGTCCACTAGCTTTCCGGACGTCGAGTGATTGCAATTCGACACGAACTTCATGCTGCCTGATTTTAATATTAGGCATCGTTGTGCCACAGTGAGGTAATGATGGTGGCAGTGCATTGCAATCATCGATTCAGAAATTAGCCGCAAAGAGTTTTGCCAGTAAATCGGCTATCTCCTGCGGCTTATGAGCTAGTGTTCCGTCTGGGCATCTCAGAGGTGGCAGCGAGGGCTGGCAGAAGTTTTTTGCACGGCCTTGGCCAAACGCCAGTAGCTACGGGAGCCCGTAGGATGCGTTATAAGTTCCTGGCAAACACGTGCAACGCGCTGGGCATCCGCTCTGATGTAAGCCTTCTTACAGGCCTTGGAAGCAAAATTGTAGGCTGCTTTAAGTGAATCGACCTCTGGATCCTTGAGAGCGCGGCCTCTGATCCAAGCACGATATGCCGCTTAAGCAAGCGTAAGCACGCGAAGCAGCTTCAGCACAGTCATGATTGAAGGAGGTTACGTGTGCCCCTTCTGATGAGATCAGAATGAGGAATATAGTATTCCATTATAATCTCCTCAGTAATGGCAATGGCACTGCCCCATAGGTCCCTGTCACTGAAGCAGCGCTGCTTCCAAGGGACGGACGCAAAGTAGTCACGCATACCGTCCCAATCTGCCGACCAGATAATGCCAGATACGGCGCTTGACCACTGCTGGACGCGGAGGCTTGGCCTGTGGTGCTTTGGCAGATATCAGGCAGTGGTCTGACGGGCCCAGGGGGGCTCTTACCACAACCTATAGCCCTGTGGAGGGGTCGTGAGCAGAAGGTCCAGTAAAGAAGGCGCTTGACTTGGAATATCTGGGATCCTGGTGGGCTGATCAACCAGTTGCATCAAGTCATGCGTGAGAGCGAATGTGTGAGCAAAGATCCCTGCATGGTCAGTTTTGGAAGAACTTAACCACAAATTGTGGTGAGCATTAAAGTCCCCTAAAAACACCAATTCTGCATTGGGAAATTGTTCTTGCGCGTCATCTGCTGCCCGACTAAGGTACTCAAAAAGTCGAGTTGCCTCAACATCGCCGGTGTGGGATCTGTAGAGGCACACGTAGACTCTAGCCAGGGGACCAGACTCGACGTGTACCCCCAGCATGGAGAGGGAGGGATCTTCCAAGCAGCGGAGACGGCGACAACAAACATCCGCCCGAACATACAGGCATACACCAGCTTTCGCTTTGAAGGAATCTTCAAGCACGTAGCCGGGATAATTAAGGTAGCCTGTGTCAGCAAGCGGAAGTATTTGTGTCTCCGTCAGGAACAACAATGCTGGCCGTGCTGTCTCGAGATGGTGGTGGACAGCGTTGAGGTTAGAGTGGAGTCCGCGTATGTTACAGAACTCGACCTCAGACAGCGTTGAAGGTGTGGCGCTGTACGTCCAAACTAGCCCTGGGGAAGAAAAATATCGAATTGGCAAAAAAAACCACGTACCTGGGCATATTCATCGACCACCAGCTTTCCATGGCCTAAGCAGAAGCGACCATTACCAAGAGCCGAGGAGTCAGAGCTGCACTTCGGCCCATACTGACATCCCTACTGCCCCTCAAAACAAAAGTGGGCATCTACAAGACGTACGTTCGGCCTATTTTAACCTATGCTGCCCCAGCGTGGTACCCTCTCTGCTCGCAGACCCTGAGGCAGCGACTCCAGCAGCAGCAGAACGTGGCACTCCGTATCATCTCCCGGGCGGGACGCTACGTTCTCAACGAAATCATCAGCCGCGACCTCAGAGTGGAGTCAATTGACTCCTTCGTGGGCCACCTTTCCCGAGGCATGTTCTACCGCGCCGACAGCGGACCGCACCACCACCTTCAAAATATTGCGCCCCTCCCACCCGGCGGCGCTAATTCTGCTTCCTCACCAGGTCCAGCCAGCCGCGGAAGAGCGCCGCGCCCGACACCACGCAGCTTGCTCTCGCCACCATCCACGTCCCACCTACTAACAATCCAGACTCCCACCTTACCACCACCCAGCTAAAATCCCCCGCATACCCCCGCTTGACTAAATCGCAGCCTGCTCGCTGGCGCTAGATGGGCCTCCCCTCACCGGGTCTCACCCAGCTTGTCTGACCGCTCTGAGGGCTGCGTTGTAAGCCTCCTGGCGAGAGGGGGCACAAAGGGGCAAGGAATGTTATAACTCCTTTCATGACTACGTAGGAAAAAAGTGTACATAGATGCAGGTGCGGTCACAGCCTGAAATTTTGGAGGGGGTCACACACTACACTAATAAAAATAGGTATCTGGAATATAATAAACATTATTCCACAAGACACTTTTTGACACAACATTTTTCAATTTGACCTTAGATTTTGGGGGGGGGGGGGGTCATGTCCCCTGTGACCCCCCCCCCCCCCCCTTCGGACCGCGCCTGCATAGATGTACTCTTGAACAAGAAATGTACTAACTCTTCTAGTTCTGACATACCTAAATAAAGTAGTCTTAGCCCGGGAGGAGTTTACTGGCACGACCACGCTCAATTTTAGAATATTGTGATCAATTTAAGAATATTCCTTTTGCTCTACTTTTAAGCGACACAGACTTCCTGGATATGTAAAAAATGCACAGTAGGTAATAATAAGAAGTGAAAAGGAAAACTACGCTTTACAATTTTACAAGTTAGATTTTAAGTCGGAAAAATAATTTAACATTGATATCGGCAAATGGAAAAAATGTATTTACGTTTTATTAATTGTTTTTATGAACCATTAGTTGTCGATGTATCTGCATTTTCACCTCTGCTGATAGAATAGAACTGATCTTATGGGTAGTCTATGGTGTCGATTCTGGCTCGATTATCTCAACCTAAACTTAAATTTGACAACAGTGGTGTCGATTCTGACATGATTCTCTAAACTTGAATTTAAGAGAACAGTGTATCCTTGTCATTCTCTAGAAAAAGAGAGACTAGGGTGCCGATTCTGGCGTGATTCTCTAAACTTAAAACTAAATTTAACATCAGTCTGTCCTTTTCATTCTGTATAGAGAATGACAAGAATATACTGCTGTCAAATTTAAGTTTAGGTTTAGAGAATCATGCTAGAATCGACACCTAGAGGTAATGTTAAATTTAGCTTTAAATTTAGAGAATCATGCCGGAATCGACAACTTTGCTGACTTCAGACTCGATCTTTGAAACCATCCTCTCCATCCAAAAGATCTCTGAAAGAACAAAGCACTTTTAAACTTGCTCTATTTCGATTCAATTACTCTTCGGTATTTTTTTCCCAGAATCAATGCAATTGTTTTTTTTAAACAATCGATTTTTAAATAATGAGTTCAAAAATCGATTCATAAAACCGATTATTCTTTCGCAACACTGCTGACACTATTTTCCTTTTCCTTCTTTCTTTCATTCGTTGACGTTACAGAAAGAGGTTCCTACCTTTGAAGATGTCGTGAGTAATCAGGATGAATCTATTAAATCATGAAATAATTAATCATTAACTCAATTTTTAATCTTACACATTATTATAATAAGATCAACGGGCATATAATTTCTGTGGTGTTTTTAGCAGTTGCTCTACTGTTAGGAATCTTAACCTTAAAATGTGATTGTTTTTAGGTCTAAAGTGTCGCGCGACACTCTTTACGAGTGCGTAAATGCTGTCCTCGAGAAATCGAAGGAGAAGAAACGCAACTTCCTGGAGACTGTAGAGTTGCAAATCGGTCTCAAGAATTATGACCCTCAGAAGGACAAGCGTTTCTCCGGCACTGTCAAGTATGTTTACCTGGAAAGAGATTTGTTTGTAGGATTAAGTGGCTTTCTGCCCTCGTATTGTTAATTTTACAAACTGGTCTCTGGACAGGGAGTCAGCTTATCTGACGGGACTTGACCCGAAGTCTTTAAATAATGGGTAGGTTTGCTTCGGCTTACCGCCTTTATTTCAAATAACCTCAAGACCGCGTGGTAAGAATTTTCTCATCCACTGTGTTAATTTCCTAGTACATAAGGTTCTTAATATGATGTTTTTTTATGTGCATGTATTATCTGATAATTTTTGATGTCATACAGTAGCTACTGACTTAATATAGGGTTGTATTTATTAGATTGTATGTGGCATCTATTTATTTGAATTTGTGTCTTCCTCAGGCTTAAGTATATTCCAAGGCCAAAGATGCAAGTATGTGTGCTTGGAGATCAGCAGCATTGTGATGAGGCCAAGCAGTTAACGGTACCCTGCATGGATGCTGAAGCTCTAAAAAAATTGAATAAGAACAAGAAATTAGTCAAGAAACTGGCTAAAAAGTAAGTAGTCTTTTTTTTATGGCTGCAAAAAATTTAAAATTGTAAAGGAAGTGATTAGTCAAAAACTTTACAATTACCTATTTCTGGAACCATTAAGTGTGGCCGCCTTGTGAAATTAGGTATTTTTGAAATGTCTGGAGATCGGTATAATGCCATACTGACCTGTAAATATACCTTTTAATTTGTTTCTAAGAATCCTTTTTTCACATGTTTAAAAATCATTTTTGTCTTAGGTATGATGCTTTCCTTGCATCAGAATCGCTCATCAAACAGATTCCACGTTTGCTGGGTCCTGGTCTGAACAAGGCTGGTAAATTCCCTGGTCTGCTTTCTCACCAGGAATCTATGACCATGAAAATTGATGAAGTCAAGGCTACTATTAAGTTCCAGATGAAGAAGGTAATCAATAAATTAATAATTTTTTTGGCTCGGCTTTCCATTAGCTGCTCGAAATTTTTGTTATGCAAAGTATTAATTATTAAAAACACATAAACGAAATCTTTTTTGGCAGAAACGCATAGAACTTAAGAAAAAAATGTATTGAAAATTAATTTTTTTGTAGGCCAATGACAATGAGAAACATGTTTCTCATTGTCTTTGGTAAAAATATGTTGATTGTGTTGGTACTATTGTGGCTATCTATGTGAAATAGGCAGAATTGTGGTTATATCCCCGTTGAGCCATTAAAAAAGAAAGAAGAAGAATGGTACTATTGTCAAAATGACAGTTAAATCGCAATTTTGTGTTTGTTTTGAGATCTGTCAGGCAGTCTGTTCATCGGTAAAAATTATATTTGCTATTATTTACTTGGTAAATAAAAAATAGTATGGGCTCAACACTTAGAAATAAGGTAAATGTGGCTTTACAACAATCTTTAATTCAGAACTGACTTGGTCTACTCTAACACGCCGTGGTCTTGGTCTGCCCTACGCCTAGTGTCTTTTAAGAGCCCTGAGGTGTGAAGAAGAGCAGCCCCCGCCTGCTGTGACAAAGCCGCAAGCATCTTGCGACCTGTAGCGCCTGAAGCTGACCAACCACCTGACTGACCAGATTGATGCTTGTGGCTTTGTCACGCAAAGGCTGAGGGGCTGCTATTCCCGCAGCCCCGGATATAAGGCAGAAGTACTGGTTCTTACTTCCCTAGTCATTGTATCCTAAAAGAATAAATGAATTTTTAGGTTAATTAAAAAAAAAATCATGCATTTCTGCCTTTAGTAGGTGGAGTCAGGGAGACTCCCCCCACTACTCTCCTACCTCAGACCTTACTTTTAAATATCTTTCACTAAGGAATGTCCATAAATATGTACAATATTTACTACCAACTTGTAATTGATCTAGAATGGTTAAAATACTTTCAACTGATATATGGTTATAGGCGTTTTCAATATCTAAAAAACAAGCCAATGTTGGTGCCAATAGACCTGCCTGCCTGCCCAGTTGTATTTTTACATACAAAAATGTCTACTGCACCATTGTTTCTGCGGTTTTACTCAAAAAGTTTTCTGCTACCCGTACAAATGTTTTTAATTTTAATATTTAACTACAAATTATCTGTTGTTGGCTGTTCTTAGTATTTGTTTCTTACTTAGTAAATGTCTGTCCATTATTGGGAAACTACTGAATACGATTATTTAACTGAGCCTTCTGCACATTTCTACTCTTTGATAGTCCAGGAAATGAAGCTAAAAAAATGATAAAATTAGGGGTTGTTTTCACGCTTTTTTCTATGAAAAAATTCATAGAAAAAAGCGGGTACCCATCTTATTTTAATCACAAGTCGGTCAATTTTCATGTTAGAGACATTTGTTTGAAAGCTCTTATTAAATACTTTAAAAAGATTCTATGAGGTTTTTTTGAATAATGCAAATTATTCTCGTTATTTTGCTGTAAATCTTCCAATTTATGCATTTGACGAAAAAAGCTAAGCATTAATTCGCTGTATCTTAGTTCATATTTGTCATAGAAAAATTATAAAAAACGCATTGTTTTGGTTGTATTAAAAGCAACAATTTGACTCTCTACACTTTTGATAAAATGCCTATTTTTAGAGTTATTCGCAAAAAACCATTTTAAAAAGTCGTTTTTTCGTCAAAAATCTGTTACTTTCAACTTTGAATAACTCAAAAAATATTAGTTTTTCGAAAAAACCGTAACATTTTTTTCTTAGAATTACTTTTCCGTCGATTCCTACAGTTAAAATGTAATAAAAAAAAACCCCCCAAGATGGTGTGGCAACCACCCCCAAGGTTCTAGCGTACAGTGGCATGATATAGAAAATGATCCTTGAGCTGTTCCCTACCTTTTGTGAAAAGTTCAAGTAAATCCATGGTGGACAAAAAAATTGCGATCCAAAATGCTTCATTTCCTGAAATATAAATGAATAAGAGGATTACAATCAATCAATTCAACCTGCTCCTTGCTAAGGAAAATTGAACCAAACAATTTTTTTCATTTATTTCTTCTCAAACCATATTTAGTTCTCTCACCATGCTTCAGAAATAGAATAAGACTGAACACTTGTGGTGACGTGATCGATCATCACTTTGACATCCACTGCATTTAATTGTGTGTGCCCATTAATCTGAATCTAACTAACTTATTGTCTGTTTCAGGTACTTTGTCTCTCGGTGGCCGTTGGACACGTAGACATGACACCTGATGAACTTGCACAGAATGTGCACTTGTCAATCAACTTCTTAGTATCACTACTAAAGAAACACTGGCAAAATGTACGGTCGCTACATATGAAGTCAACCATGGGTCCACCTCAAAGACTGTACTAAAAAATACAAACAATAAACTTGACTTCGAAAAATAACTTACTGCTTTTATTTTACACTTCGGTAGGGGAAACCACGCAATCATTGGCACTCGTCCTATTATTGGCTTTTTTGAGTTTAGTTCGAAAAAAACAAGGAGACAATACATTATTCAAGGTCGTTACATATTTTAAAAGAACAACCTAGTATGGTTACGAAATTTGAAAATTGGCAACATTATTCCTATAATCTATTGTTTCCTGGTTTTTTCAAACTAAACTCAAAAGTGCCAATAATTTTTTTTTATTTTTTTTTTTTTGTATGGCTTCGCACGGTTTGTGCATTTAAGTAATTATTTTTTTGTAATTATTATAAAGGTTAGGAAAAGAAAAGGAGGGTTTTCGGGATTTTCAATATTAGGATCAGGAGGGTATACATATATTAGTACAAGACTAAATTAAAAAAAAATATATATAAAAAGAATTAATTATTAACATATGTACAAAATAACACAATAAAGATATGCACAAATTATATTTATATTTTAATATTATTATGGCTAATGAAATTGGTGAGGCAATTATATACAGATGGTTTATTAGTGGACAATAAGGTAGGCACAGATGTAGGGAAAGGAATATGAAGGGACACAAGATCATTGAAAAAGAAGGAGCGGTCATATTTTAAACAAACAAAGAATATGTGTAAAGAAAAGTTTACTAGAAAAAAATCCACGCGGACCAGGCAGCGGACGGGACTCGAACCCGCATCCTTCGCTATCCGGGCGAATGCACTGACCATTATGCTACCACGGCCCTATTAGCCGCGTCGAAATTTTCCTAGCCTTAAGCTGCAAGGCAGCGCCATCTCTTCGCATTGTAGGTAACCCACAAGTTTTTTCTAGTAAACTTTTCTTTAGATTTAAACATCTAGCAGTTAAATGCTTAAAAAATAAATAAAATCATAAAGAATATGTGGTTGAGATCACCAACCATACCCATGTCGCAGTAGCATATATTGTTGTTAATGATGCCAATTCTAGTGAGATGATCAAGAGTGCAGACATGTCCAAGACGCATGCGAATTACAATCGATATTTCTTTCTTACCATACTTGGATTTACGGAACCATGCTTTAATAGGAATGTGTGGTTGAATTGATGCAAAGAATTTACCTTTTTCTCGCGAACTTCGTTCCCAAATATTACACCAGGCACTATAAAGATCATCTTTAGGAAGAGATAAAAGGTCATTGCTATAGTTTTTGTAAGGATGCATGTCCCCACAATACACTGCCTCATTTGCTAACTTATCAGATAGCTCATTTCCAGTAATGCCACAGTGACTTGGAATCCACATGAACTGAACGGAGAAGTTATAAGTTTGACGCTTGTAAAGTAGTTTTCTTATTTCATAAATAAATGGAAAATGAAATTTCATTCTGAGGGGGAATTTGCTTAGTGTTTGGAGAGAACTCATAGAATCTGTGAATATGATAGTATTTTTAAGTTTCATAGTAATTATGTATTCCAAGGCCTTCAAAAGACCATAACATTCGCCTGTAAACACCGAAGATTCAGGGGGTAATTTGATTTTTTGAACAATGTTATATTGGGCATGATACACACCTATACCTACATTACCAGATGGATTATGTTTTGAGGCATCCGTGTAAATATGATGATGGTTATTATATTCAGTATCAATAAGGTATTTGAAATTAAATTTTGTATTTGAATCTTTGTTAATAGAATTTAAAATAATATCTGGACATGAAATCAAGGACTCGTAATTAGCTTCAAAGGGAGGAAGTAAATTAGAACGATGTATAGGGGATTGGAGGTTCAAATATTTTTTGTAGCTAATTATTAAGCATGGAGGACATTTATTAACCCAATAATTGGAAGATTCCACTTTTTCTGTCAGAGATTGCAACCCAAAAAAAATTGGGTGATGAGCTAACTGGATGGAACGAAAGAGATACCTATCAGATAAATATTGGCGTCTGAGATGTAATGGCGATTCGCAGCACTCTACCTGTAAAGCATTGATTGGACTTGACTTCATGGCTCCTGTAACCAATCTTAGAGCTTTTGATTGTATACGGTCAAGCTTTTTTAAAGCGCTACTACTCCCAGGTTCTAATAAAAAAGTACCATAGTCTAATATACTACGTATCAAGGAATTATAAAGTAATTTGAGAGTAAAGGGATGAGCGCCCCACCAGACACCAGCTAAACACCTAAGAATATTTAAAAGACGTTCACATTTATTAACCAAATGTTCACAATGCTGTGCGCCGGTAATTTTGGAGTCTAAGATAATTCCCAGGTATTTAAAGCTGTCTTGAACAGGAATACTATCAACATCATACATGATTTGTATTGGGGGAACCTTACGTTTTCTAGAAAATATCACCACACTACTTTTAGACACTGAAAGGCTTAAGCCATTCTGATCAAGCCATTTCTTTAGACAAGACAAAGCAGATGATACATTGGAGGAAGCTCTTTCTATAGAGCTATCATTAGAGTAGATAAGAAGATCGTCTGCGTATTGAAGAATTTTAACATTATTTTTAAATACGGTTTCTAAATCATACGTATAAACATTATATAATAGAGGACTTAGGACAGAACCTTGTGGTAAACCTTTCAAGACAGTTCTGGCCATGTCATTGTCAAAATCAAATATTAATTTCACAGTTCGCTCATTAAGTAAATTAATAATTAAGTTAGAAAATCGGAGGGGAACATCAAGAGCTTCCAATTTAGACTTTAATATCGATAAAATTACATTATCGTACGCGGACTTTATATCAAGGAAAGCAGCGACTACTGATTTATTGGACGTAAAAGCTAATCGAACGTCTATGGTGAATATACTAATATTATCAATAGTACTTTTGCTTTTACGGAACCCATATTGACTGTAAGAAAGAGCCTGTTTATTTTCTAAAAACCATTCCAAACGGGTTTTTATTAAATGTTCAGCCAACTTGACTTAAACAGTAGATAACGCTATAGGACGGTAGTTATCAGCAACATTCGGTGATTTACTAGGTTTCAATACTGGCAATACTCTCTGAGATTTCCATGGTAACGGGACGTTTCCAGTTATCATGAAACTATTTACGATATCTAAATAACCTAAAAGTACTGTATCACTAAGATTTGAAAAGGAACTTTATGGAATTCCATCATCACCTGGGCAGGAGTCTCTAACGCTGTTGATAATACCTTTAAGTTCATATAAAGTAAATGGACGTTCTAAGTAATGTGTGGATAACGTTAACGAGGAGGCTTGTAGGGTTAAATTATTTTCCGGCCGGGACCCATGGCGGTGCTAATTTATCAAGAAAGTCGTTCGCAAGAGTAGGAGGAAGAGTAGAAAAAGAAGTTTTGTTAAAGGCAGATCTAAAACGTTTAATATTATTCCAGACTATTGAAGGGTGGATATTAGGAGAAATAGAAGTACAGAAACGCTTCCAGCCTTCAAATTTCTTATTTTTATATAACTTTTTTGTTTCTGATTTTAGTTTACATAGTATTTCATAGTTAGTATATGTCATATTTTTACAATAGTCTTTCTGCATTTTTCCTTTTTTTAATTGCTTGGGTGCATTCGCTGTCCCACCAAGGTGGAGATGGAATTCTGCTTAAAGTATTTGCCTTGGAAGGAAAAGTTTCAGAGGCAGCTTCTGTTAAAATGTCAGTCAGAATTTGTGCACAAGCAAAATCATTACTACTGTTCACACTTGGTAGTTGATTAATCTTAGCGTCAACTCTATCCTTGAAAGTTTTCCAAGTAGTGTCGTCTCTAATAGAATATTTATATTTTCTCAAACATAACTTTTAGGAGTGCTTTATTTGATGACTTGGAAATCCAATGATTATTGGATAGTGGTCACTACCATATGTATATGTAAGAGTCTCCCAAGACAAAGAAGAGGCTAAGCTTGGAGAAGAAATAGATAAATCTACAGTACTTATATTCTGATTTGGATCTGTACATCGTGTTGGGCTACCTGTGTTAAGGAAACATAAATTATGTGTGTTCAGTATGTCCACTAATTCTCTACCAAAAGAGCTACACTGAGAGCTTCCCCAGACAGTATGGTGACAGTTAAAATCTCCTAGAATTAAGATAGGCTTAGGAAGGGAAGAGAGCAAGTTGTTTAGATCACTTAAAATGTAAGATGAAGGTTGTGGTATATACACTGATACTAAACAAATATTATTAAAACTTATAGCTACTATAGAGAAGTCATCACAATGTGGAGGAATAGTTATATTTATATATGGAATTGTGTTCTTAATAAGAATAGCTGTTCCTCCACCGTTTCTGTCTAGTCTGTCATCTCTCACTGTACAATATCCATTATTATTAAAAGATTTATCAGGTTTAAGCCAAGTTTCTGACAAAGCAAAGGCAAATGGCTTATATTTATTGGTGAGATATATAAGGTCACTTTTATTACTTATGATACTACGAATGTTCCACTGAATTATATTGCAAAGATCCATTATTGGAATGTTGTATTATATTTTCAAGTAAAGGGGCAACGTTGGACGGTGAAATCCATTGGTATTTAGCTAATAAATTAAATAGAGCAGAAATTAATTCTAGTTGTGAGTCATTATCTTGTTGTTTAGATGTTAATAGAGCACATCCATTTGATGGGGCAGGGATTGCAAAATCATTTATAATAGCATTGTGTGCATCTCTATCATAGCCAATATTGTGGTAATTATTTTTTTGGGGAGTTATGACAGTTTAGAATGCAAGCCAATTGCAAGGTCGTAAAATTTTATTGCTTTTCTTCGAAGGCGACAAGATAAAGACTAATTCCTTGAATTTAGGTCTAGTTCAGAATGTGATGCATGCAGAAAGTAATACTAGCGCTTTGGAAACAAAGATGTGTAATTGTCTCCACGCAGTTTCTTACCTTGGACACGAAGTTAAAAAAGAGAAAGATAAAAAGGAAATAAGAAGCGTCGGCAACAATCGTGTTCAGTACTTTATTCATAATTTCTCAATATTTTCTCAAATGCAAGAGGGCAGAGCATCTCTCCACTTAAGGTACAATTCCGAAATTGACTGCAGACGACACTGCAGCTGACCGCAGTGCTGCCTGCATCGCGGCAGCTTCTATTCCGAGCGCGGCGACATGCCGCGGCTGCACAATGCATATAACCATGCCTCAGTCACTCCAATACCTTCGAGTACCGAGAGTATAATGTTGTCTCTTTTTGTCTAGAAATATTTTCCAAGTAGTGTTGTTCCAACACTACTTGGAAAATATTATAATAAAATAAATATTGCTATGAAATTGCAGCCTGCAGCCGCAGGCTACGCGCCGCGGCTGCAATTTCATACAGATCATAGAAACTAGTAGTGTCGCCTGCAGTCTGCACCTGTGGCCTGTGGTCTGCGGTTCAGTTCGGACTTGTACCTTTACCTACAGGGTATTTCCATGAAACTTTACCCTACTGTGATAAAAATTCAATTGTGTTATTAACTAAAACAAAAAGTATATCTGGAGTTCTATTTAATCATACTCTCAAAAATTGGTAAAATAAAAATTTAGCTCTTACCAAAATTATATAAATTATTCAGTTTGTATGTCAACCTATTAAATTAAATTTAATTAATCAACCTATTTAGAGTAATTGCATATAATTTACAAGCGAATTTTTCAAATTAGGTGGGAAATTGCACAATCGTCAAAAGAAATTATTAATTTTAGACCAAATGATGTTAATTTCCTGTATTCTTATATGGAATGATTTTTAATAAAGCAATGTTCAATAGAATATTTTATTAATGATAAAACTTGAAAAACCATACAGTGTCACACCCTACCCCACTTTATAGTTTTTTTTTTGAAAATGTTACAAAGGACTGTAACATTTTCAAAAAAAAAAAACTATAAAGTACATTATACATGTTTGTACATTTCGAATAACGTAGTTAATTGAGATAACTATTCAAGTTTTTCATAAAAGAATCTTACTGTATACTTTCATCGAAAATTTTACAGGTGTTTAACTGAAAGTCATCTTGGTCGCATTTGGCGATTTTCTAAAGTCACACCCGTTACGCGATTCATGACGCTGTATAAGTTTTTCATTACAAGTTTCTCTACAGATCTTGTTTGAGGTTAATATCTAATTTTTCACACTATTTTTTTTATTAACGTTATTTGATATACCTGAGCAAACACTTTATTATCTTCAAAAAAAAAACACAGTGTCAATGTCGCACCCGTTACAATGGAAATACCCTTATACTATATCACTTATACTTTTAGAGTCTGGATTGATCATTTCTTCGTCACTATCTTCACCGTCGTCGTCATCTGGTAACTGATCATCCGCGTCTTCGACGGATTCTTCACTTTCAATGCTCTGTTGTGTCGCGATTATCTCTCCGTGAATATCTTTGTTTTTAAGGTTCCCCATCCAGAAAGCTTCCGAACAATTGTTAGCAGCTAATGCAGCTTTAACTTTATAAATAAGTATTTCCAGAAGTTGTCTGATATAGGGAACTTTACTCATTAACACTTTGTCTTTTTTTAATCTCGAATGACAGCATAGCGATTGTAAAAATCTAGTTGATTGCTGAAGTATTTTTAAAATCTCTAACACTTCTTCAGTTTCAGTTTTTAATTGTAATTCTAAAATAGGAATACCTTGAGATAAAAAAAGTTTAAGAACGGGTACAGACTTTTTGAAGAAAGCTGACAAATTATTCCTGTTTTCTAGTGTTTTAGCAATATCAGACATATTTCTCAATATAACTGCCACGTCTTTCCATAATTCCAAATGCTCAGTATTAGTTAGTCCTTTATTAAGTCGCGCTTTTGTAGACTCGTATAAAGCTGTACCCACATTTCTGTAAAGTATGGAGAAATTTCCCTTATTAACGCATTTAAATGACGCGAGGCTATCTTTTTGGCACTTCAGGCTTTTGATTTCGTGAGTCAATTGTAATGTTAGATTTCTTAGAGATAAAGTTTCATTATTGATAAAGTAAACATTAGTTAACATATCTACGCTCTGGTTGTAGAATAATCCCTTTTCTAGAATCCCGTCGGGAGTTTTCCATTGTTGTGAGAGAAAACTATGTGCCATATCTTTCAAAATTTTCAAAATAACTCTGTTGTCTGTAAACTGTTGAATTGCTTTTAAAAATTCAATCAACGATATAGCTGTCGTTAGGTGTAAACAATACTTTTCATGCTTTTGAAAATATTTCGCAGTAGACAGAAGTAAATCTCTCAATGACACTGCATTTGCATTGCCATCTGTAGATGATATTATTCTCAAAGTACTTTTTAGCAGAGTGTTTTGATGATTTCTAAATCCAATCCATTTGAAGAATATTGTGTACATGTTGTAAATGCTTTCTAAACATAACAAATAATCTAATAACTCTGTTGTAAGAACAAAACCACTTTCATTTTGGGTATTTTCAAAAGTATGGTTATCTAAAAAATTACAAATGAACTTTAAATGCTGCATAACTTTCGGGAGCATCTTATTAAGAAGTTGAGCACATTCTTCTGCCTTTTTGCTATCATAAATACAATCTTCCTCCTTAGTAAAGATTGCTTTCCTTTTAATCTTAGAAATAAATACACTACCAAGTTTTATATTGATACATTTCAACAAAAAATTAAAAGATTTAATTCCCAAATTGCAATGCTCGTTATTAGAGCCTATGTCATTATCTAGTAGATAAAGTAGGTTTACAGTTAATTGTCTAAAAGGCAATGTATTGGCTAAACTCAGTTTACATTTCAGTGAATTATTATTTTGAGATGGTTGCGATTTTACTGTTTCCGGTATAGCTGTGTCATCTTGAACTAGTTTCTTCTGAAGTTTGCTTTTACTTTGAACATTGGTATGTTTCTTTTCAACATTTTCACCAGTATATTTATTAATATTAAAAAAGCAAGCAGGTGGTTTATAGATTATGTTAGATCTTACGAGTACTTGTTCAATTATTGCTTCCAATTCTTCAACTTGCAAAAGTCTTTGTAAAATTTTTGATTTGAGAGCTTCATCTTCCTGGGTAGCAAAAGCGTTGAGTAACTCTCTAAACCAATTGACACAATGAATAAGGCAATCCAATACGTTTGAAATAACTATATTATCTAAGTCTTCAATCTCGTCAATATCAAATATAGGCATAATAACAGAACATCCTAATAGGGCATCAATGGAAGATAATGTCCCATCATGCTGTTTGGTATGTAATGTTTGCACTAATTGGAATAAGGGTGATAAGATTCCAATATTCAAAGCAGTTTTAGGTTGTAATGTAAGACCAGCAATATTTATTGCAATTACTTCATCCATTTCACTATCTGCATTAAGACAATATTGCATTGAAAGTTTCAATTCTCCAATCGTTTCATGTTCCACATTGTCAACAATAAAATTTTGTTGTAAGTCATTGGTCACTGCATCAGTCAACCATGATAAAAAATTTTTGTTTATATGAGATGCAGAGTTAATTATTTTTGATAATTCGTCATAAAAAAGGGCAATCATATCTGGAAATTGTTTTGTGCTTCGACTTATTAATTCTATAATCTGAGCTGCCTCACGAAGATCACCTTCAGACAAAAATGTAACAGAACTATAGCTAACATCATCAGGAAATTCTGTAGTATGATCATTATCACTGTGTTTTATCATCAAATATTTTACTGCATGCAACCCAGCCACAATACCTTGAATTTTAATTTTTGGTATAGAGCTACCCAGTTCTTTTCTTATCACCATATACATATCATCTCGTATTACAGAATTGTCAGTGCTATATGCAAGACCGCAAAGTAAATTCATTACAGCTTTGATCTCATTTAGTTTCATATTATCCATTCTATCCAACAATGTTAACATTTGTACACTTTGAGGCTTTAATAAAGTCATATTAGTACCGGCAACATTATTCAATATGAGTAAGATATTCATTACAGCTTGTTGACAATCTAGTCCCAACTGAAGTAATTCTGCAAGAATAGTTTGGCAGCAATCATTCAAGTGAGAAAACATAAGCATGTATAATCTTGATGCAAATGCTTCAACCACAGGATCTCCTTTGGTTTTTATCAAAGAGTTACTAAGTTTTATTAAATTCTTCAAATTATCTTTGTATATATATTTAAATTTTACAAAAGACTCTTCCAAAGCATCTTCTTTCAAAATATTTGATTTTACTTGCTTTTTCATCAAAATTTCAATTTGTCTTTGTTTTTCTTCAGAAAGAGTGTATAATATCAAAGAAATTATACAATCAATTGATTTATAGTTGCTGTCTACTTTGGACATGGATACTGCTTTAAACCAAGCATTTGCTATTACTTTTGAAGACAACATTGAATTTCTTATAGCTGTGGCAGTAAGGACTTGACTAGTTGCAATTTCCTGTTGTGTTGCAGTTGTTGCTGGCCAGCCAAGAGCATTCTTGATGCCTTGCACCGTTTCCAGATAAGCAGCATCACTCATTTTGCCAGGAATTAGTAGGAATTTAATAAAATTAGGGAAATACACACACTTTGGAAAAGTGTTAAGAATATTCAATGTTCTTCTTTGTAATTGTTCATAGTGTTCTTCAGACAAACTTAAATAAGACAAACAGTCTAAAATAGCTGGTGTAAGATTATAATCTTCACTCAATATTCTACTCATTTCTGCCGCAATATTATTGTGTTCTTGATCTCCAATTATATCTGGGATAGCAGTAATAATCTCTAAGCGAACCATTTTTTCTGTAGTAATATCTAATAAGTTAATTAGATGGCATGCAATTTTATCAGTGCTTGTTATGTAATCCAGTGATGAAAAACATTTTAATATCATTTGTATCCATGGCCCACACTTAGCCTCGGCAGCAAAATCAATAGCTTTTTCGAAAATGTAATCCAACAATTTGTTTTGTAAAATTGGCACACTTAATAGTATTTTAAAAACACTTTCACTTAAGATATGCTCATCTGGACTATCATCAGCAACCTTAGTTACATTAGGAAATAAATAGTGTTTAAACACATTTATGTTCTGACAGTCTTTTTCTAAGTTAGAAAAAAAATCTGTAACATTTCTGGGATAATCAAAGTGTTTGTGTAGGTTTTTCTTAATGTTCCGTAGAATGTGTACAGTTTCATGAGAAATAACACATTTCGTTGGTGGAAAATTTAAAATGAAGCCACTCTCTTCAAGAATTTTAAAGTAATAACTGTCTTGTTGAGTTGTTTTTAACTTCTTGGTTGGGCTACTGGCTTCACTCAAAGCTTGAGATCTTGTTCTTTTGGCACTCATCATGTACTCACCTCTTGCTCACAGTTTTGTTTTTCATACCACCTGTAAAATAAAAGTATGTAAATGAGAAAATTAAAAAACATAATAATTAAAAATAGCCACAATGGTATAAAGGGTGAAATTGAATGTTTTAATGAAACTTCGTGGGATTGTTGGGTTACGTATATAGGGTGAAATTGAATGTTTCAATGAAACTTCGTGAGATTGTTGGGTTACGTGTATAGAGTATGCCTGATTTTTTTCGGATTTTTTAAAATAATTTTTTTCTTTTTTTTAATTGTGCATTTTTATGTCCTTTCCTCTTTTGGAGTAATAATTATTTATAACACGTATTCATAGTATGTGAAATATAACAAATAAATAAGCACTCCTAAAAAAACAAAAACTGAATGAATGCCTCCAGTCGAGATCAGGGCCGGCCGGGGCGACGACCGGCGGCCGCCTGTGTAGGTACCTACTACACGCACAGATGACTCGGCGCGTACCTACTTTCCGCTTTGATTCCACACTATTTAAAAACATTACAATAAAATAGTCTTACATGCTATATTATATTTATTTATTTACTGATACACAATACCTTTGAATATTATTTCATAAAGTACAGGTAATTAATCAATAAAATAAATCTTCTGTTAGAGCAATTAAAAATCCTATAAAGTTAATATGACTGTCACGATTTTAAATCGGTAAAGCCTGTCTGTTAATGTAAGAACTTCTTTTTTATTGTTAATGTTAGTTGCCTCGTCTAATTAAAACTTAAGAACAAATGGCTTATTTAAAATTGGGAAAAATCATACAGAGCAAATCGGTATAACTTACTTACTTAGTGAAGAAAGGAACTCTCGTGTCTGATTTGCCCACGTTATGAAATTCCGAACACATTTAATCACAGCCACAGTCACACACACGCACACACACACACACACACACACATAATAATGAGCGTTTTCCATTTAGAAAAAAAAGTCGACACTGTGTTGCACTGTGTCGACGATACTATAGCAAAAACCTAATGCCAACTAAAGCTTGGTAACTTCAATACTTTTCATTGGTAACACTGTTACACTGTTACCAATGGAAAGTATTGAAGTTCGATACTTGGGTCAGAATGAAAATTATAACCATGTATTCAAAAGTTACTTACGAGACCGATGTATCTATTCATTTTTTTCACTATAACTTCATGTATACACTTTGTAAACAGAATCAATCACCAAACCTACTTTCGTAAAGCCTTGTGGCTCTGCTGTGTATTCCGTGACACTCGCAATATCAACACACCATGTCCAAATTCTTATATTGAGGCCACAGAACAAGAACTAATCAAGGCATTATTTGCAAATCTTGTCTTGTCACAAAGTTAAAAGATAAGCATGCGCGGTGGATAGACGCGCAGCTGTTGCGAGACTGCGCTCGCTCACTGCGCTTTGCACCGCGCAGGTAGGTAGGAAGGTATTCAACGGCGGGAGCGGTCATAGCTCCCGGCCGCCCGTCTACTGTTTTTACGTTTTTTTTAGTAGTGCTTATTAGTTGTGTTTTACTTACTCTGTATGCGTGTTTAAAAAGAAGAATTATTAAGTACCCAAAAGGGGGAAAGGACTTAAAATATAACAAAAAAAAACAAAATTTTATTTTAAACCATTTTAAAAAATCCGAATAAAATCAGAGATACTCTATATAGGGTGAAATTGAATGTTTCAATGAAACTTCGTGAGGTTGTTGGGTTACGTGTATAGAGTATGCCTGATTTATTTCGGAATTTTTATAATTATTTTTTTCGTTTTTTATTTTTTTTAATTGTGCATTTTTATGTCCTTTCCTCTTTTGGAGTAATAATTATTTATAACACGTATTCATTGTATGTGAAATATAACAAATAAATAAGCACTACTAAAATAAACGAATAAAATAGTGGAAACGGCCAGGCGAGGCCGACGGACGCCGCGGCCGGGGGCAACGACCGCGCATAGCTGACGCGGCGCGTATCTACTGTACAGTACAGTAAAATCGTCAAAGGCAATTAATACGGAATAGATCGCTCTCAATTCTGAGACTACGACCTTGAGATACTGTGTTCATACAAAACAGCATCTCAAGATCGCTCTCAGAGTTGAGAGCGTTCTATTCATACGGGCCTTAGATGTCATATTACAATAACAGATTTATTTAAATAAAGAACAAGTGTTATCTTCTCATTAGCAGAGAATAAAACCTAAAAAGTTAATAATAATTTATAACTAGGTATTAGACAGTACTTACGAGACCAGCGATGTAGGTAGGTACAACGAGGAACGAGGAACATATTCATTTTTTCACTAGAACTTTTTATCAAATCAATCACACTGGTAGTACACTAATTAGTTGTATCAAATCAAAAAGTATTTACACTAGCAATAAAAAGAGACTTAAATTATTATCTGCAAAATTGTTGCTCTAAACCACCATTTTGCTGCAAACAAAGGAAGGCACGTTTGCGGACGTGTCTTTCCACCTTTTTTAAAGTGTCCCTATCACTACTCACTGCACAAAATGCAACTTCTATGGTTTGGGGACTCATTCGTACACCAAAACCTACTTCGTCACACTCGCGATAGCAGTACACCATCTCTAAATATTCTTGGTTTGTATACCGAGGCATAAAGAAATTATCATAGTGTATGTCACCAAGTCAAAAGATGCGCACGCCCACGCGCGATTGATATACTTGCGACTGCGCTTTGCATGTAATCAAAGCAAAGCACCGCACGCGGGGAAGAGGGGAGGTGGGCGGAATTCACATCATCAAAGACGCCGCAACCGGCGCTAGCGCTGCACGTTTCTTGCCAGCGTGCGGCGCGCCGCCCGCCCGTGCTTGCCGCAAAACAGCATTTTTTGTTATATTTTACGTCCTTTCCCCCTTTTGGGTACTTAATAATTCTTCTTTTTAAACACGCATACAGAGTAAGTAAAACACAACTAATAAGCACTACTAAAAAAAAACGTAAAAACAGTAGACGGGCGGCCGGGAGCTATGACCGCTCCCGCCGTTGAATACCTTCCTACCTACCTGCACGGTGCAAAGCGCAGTGAGCGAGCGCAGTCTCAAGTCTATCCACCGCGCATGCTTATCTTTTAACTTTGTGACAAGACAAGATTTGCAAATAATGCCTTGATTAGTTCTTGTTCTGTGGCCTCAATATAAGAATTTGGACATGGTGTGTTGATATTGCGAGTGTCACGGAATACACATCAGAGCCACAAGGCTTTACGAAAGTAGGTTTGGTGATTGATTCTGTTTACAAAGTGTATACATGAAGTTATAGTGAAAAAAATGAATAGATACATCGGTCTCGTAAGTAACTTTTGAATACCTGGTTATAATTTTCATTCTGACCCAAGTTTTGAACTGCAATAAGTATTTCCTTTTTTTTAACATTTGCCTATTTCCAATCGTGACAAAATTATTATTACTTTTAAGTTTTTCTCTGCTTAAGAGAAGATGACATTTGAGCTTATTATTTCATTAAAGGCATCTCTGAAATCATTTCAATAGCTAGCTGTAAATCATTTCAATAGTGAAGTAAAGAAAATTAGATGCGATACTGGGGGTGAATACTTGAGCAATAACCTACATGCGTGGTGCTAGGCTAAAGGAATAGTACTGGATGCAACCATACATTACACGCCTCAACTAAATGGAAAAGCTGTAAGACTGAATAGAACCCTGATGGAGAGAACAAGGGCTCTAATGTTCGATGGCAAGGTTCCAAACTATCTGTGGGGTGAAGCACTGTTAACATCAAGTTTCCTGATCAACAGAAGTCCAACAGAAAGTAGAAACAAAACACCAGTGGAAATGTGGTTCAAGATAAAACCCAACCTATCAAACATCAGAAGATTTGGATCTACAGCATACGACAAAATAAATTTTGGCTTACGAAAACTTGACGAAAGATGCGGCAAAGGAATACTCATCGGCTACGTTAGAAACGGCTACAAATTTTGGGTGGATGAGAAGAAACAGATAATGAGAGCGAGGGATGTAAGAATAAACGAAGAAGAACAAGGAATATATTTATATGATGAAGAAAATATGGTTAGAATGAATGGACTCTTGACTGAAGATTAAAAAACAGAAGAAGATGAAACAAGGCAAAATTCTACAGATAGCAATAAGGGGGTCGAGAAGATGGAGAAAGGAAAAATAGAAATTTTAGAGAAACAAATGACGGTGAAGCAATTGTCGGAAGAAGAAATGAAGAAGCTGGAAATGAGAATAGTGTAAATAGTAAAAACAATTTTGAAAGTAATTAAAATTTTGATAACGTTATACAACCCGAAGAAAATGAAGTATTTTTGGATAGTGAAAAAACTGAAGAAAGTCACAGTCGAGCAGTAGATTGAAGCAGAAAACGGAAACAGTAATGAAGAAATTGAGGGAAGTCGAGCGGTGGAAAATAATAATAGAAGAAATCAACCTGCGAGAGAACGAAGGTTACCAGAAAGATATAAAGATTATGTCATAGAGTATGATACGGAAGTTTCCATGTTAACGTACGATGAGGGGATAGAATCAAAAGAAAAAGATAAATGGAAGAAAGCAATACAGAAAGAAATCAAATCGTTAGAAGAAAACTAGTACCAAGCAAATGTATTTTTACGGTCAAAGCAGATTGAAGATACAACACAAGATTAGTCGCAAGAGGATTTCAACAGAAATATAAAATAGATTACGATGAAACATATGGTCCAGTTGTAAATACAAATTCTTTGAGAGTAATATTGTCAATTGTTGCAAATGAAACAGTTTGATACTAAAACAGCATTTTTACATGGAGATTTAAAGGAGTGTATTTATTTAAAAGTTCCAAAAGGTTACAGCAACAAAAAAGATAAAGTATGCTTTATTATTACAATTTTATTACAGAATATTTAGTTAAAATGGGTTTTAAACAATCAAAGTTAGGCCAATGTATTTTTGTAATGGAAGGTGAAAGAAGGATTATTCTTGCAATTTAAGTTGATGATGGACTAGTAGTTGGTGAGAGAGAAGAAGACTT